ATAAGCTTATTTTTTGGAGTATTTCTGTGCAAAAATTTTTTAATTTGCTCAAATCTTTAATTTTCTATGCCCAGTCAAAATACGGAAAATCGGCCGCCATCTTGCCCCACGACCGAGTTTAAAGAGGAATGGCTCTAGTGGGTAATGTGACGTCAAATCGAGAACACGAAAGTCTGCATCTCACACATTTTCACTTGTTTGGGAAGATTGTCGTCGATATTGTCCGAAATATGCCGACTAGGTGTGTTGTATGAAGAATGTATGAAGCGCGATACCCTCTTGCAAATTTCGCACGTTGCTACATCCTTCTACAACACACTTAGTCGGCATATTTTCGGACAATTATCGACTACAACCTTCCCAAACAAGTGAAAATGTGTGAAATGCAGACTTTCGTGTTCTCGATTTGACGTCACATTACCCACTAGAGCCATTCCTCTTTAAACTCGGTCGTGGGGCAAGATGGCGGCCGATTTTCCGTATTTTGACTGGGCATAGAAAATTAAAGATTTGAGCAAATTAAAAAATTTTTGCACAGAAATACTCCAAAAAATAAGCTTATATCGTTAAGCGAAAAAAAAATTTTGGGTTTAGGTGCACTTTAAGAGAAACATGTCAAACATGGTGACTGTTTTTCTTGCCATGCACAGTGTGAGCGCCAAGCCTCACGGGAGTTACAGGTGCTTGATGTTTAAGTTTTCTATCAGAGGTAACGACACCTGCAAAGCAAGTGCTGGTCAACTGAGGCCGCTACAATTTGTCCATAACTGATTGTAGTTGAAAATGAATATCCACAGACGTTCTCAAGCTCACAATACGAAATGTTAGCAGGTGTGACCGTGACGGGAAAGTGGTGTTGTGTTACAATGCAAGTGGCGTATTGTGACAGTGTTGTTGCGAAAAGCGGTGTTACATTACCGTGTCAACCATCGATTTTGAGCACTCTATAAGACAGTGTATGGAGTCCGTAATAGCGTTCTATCAAAACGTTTGTTATGATAATGATAATCTTTAATAATTGCTCCTTAAAAGGCTTTTTGGCAACTGTTTACAATGATGGGTCATTAATTTATGATAATGTTGAAATAAATTTAAAAAAACTACATGCAGTGTGCAAGGCTACAAATGCGTTTCTTATGGTATAATTGTGACCTCTCACGTGAAAACGTTCCTAACGGTAGCCATTTGAACAGTGAACAGAATGGCAAGCGAACGGGTGACAAATGGCTAGGAAAGCCGTTTGAAACAGATACTGTGAATGGATGAACGGCTAAATAAAATTTTCGAACGGATGAGGTCAAACGGATGAATGGCTAGTGAAAATTTTCGAATAGATGAGGTCGAATGGATGAATGGCTAATTAAAATTTTCAAACGGATGAGGTCGAATGGATGAACGGCCAATTAAAATTTTCGAACAGATTAGGTTGAATGGATGAACGGCTAATGAAAATTATCGAATGGATGAACGGCTAATTTTTCGAACACTGAGATGAGCCTCACAGATGAGATCGAATGGATAAACAGCTAAGCAGTCGAACAAGTGAGCACCTGTAGAAATTATTTGAATTGATGGTTTCGTGAAAACGAATGCCGACACAGGCGTCCCAAGCTCTCGTCTTGAGCCAAAGCAAAGGATTATTTCATGAAAGCGTCACGTGTTGGGTGATGCGGTGTTAAGTTACGCGAGGTATTTGACACAATCTGTGAAAAGATCACTTGAAACGAGTCAAAACGCGATCGTTTGAATAACTTGACCTCGCTTTCGGTTCATTCAAATGGATTATAACTAATATTTTTATTATTGAATTCGACTGATTAAGATAAGGTACAACCAAGGAACTTGCACACAAAAAGCATACGATTCGATACTTCTCAACTTCAATTCAGGTTTAAAGTTCCATAATCCCAGCTTCCCTGTCTGTCCATCAAAAATGCATTGCCTTGGTAACTGCTAACAACTTGTGTCAATTACTGCCATTTCACACAATCACAAAATGGCGAATTCAACAAGAGAAGATACGGATTGCGATCACACCAAAAATGTTCCTACTATTGTTGCCAAAGTGCCAAGTGAACGGCTGATGAATTTTCTTGAACTGATAGCTCGAACCCTTTGAACGTATGGTGAATATTCAAGAACGGATAGCTGGAGGCATTTAAACGGATTATGAATATTCAAGAACGGATAACTAGAGGCGTTCGAACGGATGACAAAGTTTCTTAAACGGATAGCTCGAACGGTTCGAACAGATGATGAATATTCAAGAACGGATAGCTTGAGGCATTCAAATGGCATGCCAATCTATTCAAATGGCTGATGAACATCTGGTGAACGGCTATCCATTTAAAAACGGCTAACCATTCGAAACATTTTCCCGTGAGAGGTCACAATTATCTATAGTTTTTAAAATAATAACGTATGTGAACTTACCTCATCTGTTTTCTGTAGTTCTTTATGCTTGCTTAGGTGAAACAACTTGTTAGGGACAGTTTGCCCCTCCTATCCCCCTAGTGCGCATCACGTGATTTTTGCTACCATGTGCTCAAAAATTTGTGTTGTGTGCTGTTTTGTGTGTCTCTACAGGCGA